GGTGCCATGTCCTAACTCGAGTGAGGCGGTACCCTGACTGCCATTCTGGACAACGACCCGCTGTAGATTCTAGATCACAGTGCGGCTTAGTTTTGGAATTCCCAGGAAGCTTCAGGGAAAGGCAAAGGCATTGATTCGCGAGGAGCTTCAATTTTCAGCATTGGCCCGCGCCGAAGGAAACTGCAGGCCAACGTGACCTGTAAGGCCTTTTGTGCAAGGCAGGGTCATTGAGTCCATTTGGTCTCCCTCAATGTGTAGATACCTGCGCAGCCACGCCGGCTTCAGAATGAGCCTTTCGATGATCAGCTTTCTGATCTGGTAGGTGTCCTTACAGGGTGTGTGCTCGCAGAGAGGACTCTTTGCGTGATCATAGTTGCGCATGAGTTCTGCAGGGAGATGTCTAGGGACTCGGATGGTTAAAGCCATCAGGCAGGAACATGCATGTGCAGAGATGGCCTACTCAATGGCGTGATGATGGTGTGCCTGTAGTCTAGTTGGCATGTTCAAGGACGTAAGCAATCCCTCTACCAGGTTGAGTGGAACCTCTGTGCAAGAGCTGTTCGAGAATCTGTGAAAATTTTTTGCACAAGAATTCAATCGTTTCCGTCATTTACATGGCCCCGAAATAGCATTGCGGGGCAACACATGGCAACGCCGTGTCGAAACTCTAATCGAACATCTCGTAGTCTCGTATTGCTGCTCGTCGCTGAGCCTTGAACTCGGGGTCCCGTCCTTGCCTTTACCCTTCTCGAATACTTCCCCATATCACTCCGGTATAGAGTTGCGGGTGTCTTGCTTACTGGCGATGGCTTTGGATTGCCCTGCAGTGCCTTGCAGATGAGTTTTTTAGCTTTACCTTGGCAGCCTCGCCTGCTCCCGTTAAGAGCCTCTGGCCGGGATGGGCCCGGAGACGCGATGACAAAACACTTGGTGTCGCCGTAGGGTATGGGGGAATGGATCCCTATAATAGACCCTTGACATTCCTCTTAGTGGTTCTAATAGCCAGTTTCCATACTGCAGTTGTGGTAAGAATCCGAGAGTTGTCCACAATGCTGCAGCTGCAGGTGTATTCGTGCACACGACTCGAAAGTCTGCATTGCTGAGCTTGACGGCCTATGAAGACACATCAAGAAGTTTGGATTTTCGTCGGAGCAGCTCACTATGGCCCAAAGGATAGCTCATCCTACAGATCGCAAGTAAGCCGGCATCCAAGTCATGGCGCAAAAAGACAGTCTTGAACACCAGTGGATGTTACTGGTAGCAAGGACAACTAGTGACGGTAGTGAGCTTCACCTGGTGATGCTTAGCACAGGGCAGGGACGATCCTCCAAGTTTCTCTTCCTCCGGCGCTGGGCGTCGAATTCTTTGTCATGAAAACAACACATCGACAATCGTGATCGAAGCAGCGATTCCACCCACGGTCTGGGGCTTTTTGTTGAGTTTCGGTTTAGGGGCGGCGCCTTGGCGCACCATCGCGTGGAGGGGCGTGCTGCGCACATTCCCGAGCCCAGCATGTCCAAGCTGGATGACTTTCTAGACGAGATCGTCAAGGACGGGGTCACCGCTGTGTTTGTGGTTTCGAATCTTGTGTAATTGTAGAGATGACTTTGATATCTGGCCTGGAGCCGGGCAAGCCTTGAGAAGGTACACATGAAGCAGCTCGATCCCGAGGCTATAGTCGAGGAAGAACAGTCTGCTCCGGCTTCTCGGATGTTTTGCAGCAAGATCGGGAGTGTGTGTCTAGAGTCTTCGACTTAGAGAGAGCCAGCCAAGCGACGTATCTTTGCAAAGGTCAGCTGGTCGGAGATGGTTGGAGCCTTACTGAGCTTGCACATAGCTTGAAGCCCCCTCTCCGACGAGCGTTAGCCCAAGGCCTTCATCGGAGTGCCCTTTGGCTGCAAGGGCAGCAAAAGACTCTGCCGTTCTGTATCGGGTTTCCGAGAGTTGAGGTGCTCAAGTTGCTCAAGTAGGAGAGAGAGCTGAGGATCTTGCTGCTGGTGTGCTACATCGCTGCGGACTATTTGTCCCAGGGTTCGCAGCGAGACGTTTTGAAGGTTCTGCAGGAAGAGATCGAGACCTAGCTACCAGGCTCCTTTCGTGCGAGAAATCAAGAGTTCTTGAACGTGAAATGTGCACGTCCAAGGTATCCATATTTCGAGACCTATGTGCTTCGCCGCTGGTCTCAGATTCGCTGGTGTCCGGTGAAGTCTCCATCAGTCAAGCAGATCCTTGAGATGTCTTCTGTTTACTTCAGCTTCCCCTCAACAGGGCCTGTGGTCCACTCCCTGAGGCAAGAAGAAGAAGCGCCCCCTCCCGAAGGCTGCGGGTCCACGGAAGAAAGGATAAAGAGCCTTAGGCCTTGGGCTTTGGGAGGGCCCGGCCCTCCGGGGCCGTGCCCTCCGGCTAACGACGCAGCTGTCAGCTTATCGAAGCGGCAATGCGCCCCTTCATTTAGAGTCCTCAGGCCCGCTAAGCTCGGAAGTCAGTGCAATATGAAGGGCCACGCGCCAAGCTGACTTGGCAGGCGTGGCCGGAGGTGTTGTGCGGAACAGTAAAACGGGTCGGCAGAGACCGCTGTTAGCCAACACTGAAGACCAATTCGCATGCACCTGCATTTTGTAGGTAGAAGAAGACACTCTCGACTTTGATCCCCGATATGCAAGCACCCGGAATAGACCTGAAAAGCTTTTTGTTTCTCACCAGCCCTAACAAGACTCCAAACACGGAGTGCGGCTGAAGACTTCTCGGGGTCTAACAGGTCTTGCTATTCCCCATCCCGAGAGGTGAGCCTAGCTTGTCCTGCCTGCTTTCAAACTTCAACCGACCACTACAGAGTTCGTCAGTTTCGTGCATGTTCCTTTATCTCGTCTCCCAGAGGGACACGACAGACGCCCAAGAGGCCTGTGAAAGCTCAGTCCCGAATCATGCTGGCCTGCCCTTGTATCGCAGCCCTCCCCTCCATTCTCGGCAAGCCATCGGCGCGATGGCGATGGAGTCGGAGAGTTTCTGTGGAGCGCGGCGGCACACGCTCAGGACCAGGCCTCGTCTGAAAGGTCTTCATCTGAACTGCCGCCGCCTTTTGTAGCTGATGCTGTGCTGATGGAAGCCCTGGAGACTATTGCATTCATGCAGCCTCGAGTCAGAAAGCCCTGAAGCACCAGAAACCCGAAACGGCTCGGGTGGAGGCATGTGGCATCTATGGCTTTTGCCATGACCTGTGCGGGACCTTTCGGCGTGGAGGCTGGAGACAAGCTGAGAGGGTTTCTTAGGCTTTGTAAATGGCTTCTCCGCGTGCTGTATAGCTTTTGCCCTTGGCTTCATGCACAATTCCGACCGTCACACCTGTACTCCTTGTCCGGCGCTTGACTACAGAGCTCACCTAAGCACTGAAGCCTACTGCTTCGGCTCGCAACCCTGCTGCGACAGCAAGGATGCAGATCTCTCTTCACACACACCTAAACCCTAAATTCACCCTGAACCCTAATTTAAACCCTAAACCCGAAGGTAACCCTAAACCTTAAGAAACCTCCTTGGGCCCTGAACCCCGCCAGTCAAAGGATAAAAGGAGGAGCCCTTACCCCTAGGTATAGAACCTCATATAGCTATCATATACCCATTATATGGTCGGTCCATTATAGGGTAGGGGTCCCCATTAAGGGTCCCTCCTTTTGCCCTTGGAGCCAGGCCTGTGTGCGCACAGCCGGAGCTCCAGCGTGCTTCCTTGGTCTTCTCGTGACCATGGCAGGCGATTCCGGGGGTGTTTCACGAAAATTAGGGGAATCTCAAGCCTTGGGGTTCTCAGAGAAAGAATACAACTATTCAGGGTACTATGTGAGGGTCCCCAATTTTCGAAGATTTGAGGGGGGGAAACATTTTTAGGGGCCCTGAAAAACAACTATGAGGGTTCTATGTTGGGGTCCTTGTTTGGTGGCAGCTGTGCTTCGTGGCTGGTCGTGAAGCAGGCGAAGTTTTCGTATGCCAGTTTCGCATGTAGATTTCAGGTTTAGGTTTCAGGTTTAGGGCTGAGGGTTTAGCGTTTTGGGTACAGCTTTCGGGGTTTGAATTTCGGGCTCAGGGCTCAGGGTTCTTGCAGAGTTGTTGGGGGCCCCTAACCCCTAAACGAACCCTTAACCCTTCTGCCAACTGTGGCATTCCAACTCGTTACTGAGCAGGCGGAAAAGAGGGCTCAACATAAAAAACAGCCATAAACCCTGGGACTTAAACCTAAACCCTAAACAATAATTTTTCTGGAGTGACTAGGGATAGGCGTAGGATAAAGGAGCAGCCCAGGGATAGGCGAAGGATAAAGGAGCCTAACAAAACAGCCATGTAAGCGGTAAACCCTTTCTTGCCGGATGGGATGTTCAGCTTCCTGGATCGCTCTTTGGGACACCCGTGTGCTTCAGAAAATAAGGGGTCCATTTTTAGTGGTCCTATTCCAGGATCCGAGTATTTGGGGTCGGCAGCTGGGGTTTCCTGAAACTCCCAACTGTGCAGGCTACGTACTGCCACAGATCCTCATGACCAGCGAGCTCTCTATGATGCCTCCCCTGAACAACGGGGGCGTCACCGCCTGGGTTGCCCGTGCGTTCGGTGGCCGGGTCGGGGAGTGTGTTGGGCTGAACATGCTGCTGCAGCTCGGCTCAAGCGGTTCCATGACTACCTTGAGCTTGCGTCTTCGTGTCAGCATCTGTTGATCTAGAATGCTTCATTGGATTGCAGAGTCGCAGCGAGGTATCAGATTGTCGACCTGGCCACCTACACGACGATCGTTACCGGCTACGCGCAGTCTGGGGGATACGAGGCGGAGCGCAGCGGGGCTACGAACGCAGACCAATAGCGACAGAAAAAGGATCAGTGATGTCATGAACGACCAAAATTGTGTGTACTCGCGCACAACCGGAGCAAACCGATACACGCCCACAGGCCCCTCCTAAAAACTGGGCGTGGGCAGTCTTAGGATTTGGGAGGTTTCAGGACTTTCGCGGTGAGCAGAGGTTTAGGTGTTTTGTCTTGCTTGTTCAGGCTCAAGGGTTTGAGGGTCGTGTTTCCAATCGACGACAAAGGCAGGGGGGTCCTTGAAGAGAAGCCCAGTATCTTGAAGGTAGCATATTAGTGTTGCCGTGCTTCGCTGGGTCGCAAAAATACCAAGCCTAGGTTTCGTAGTGCTGCCCTTTTGCCTTTTCTTCGTGGGTTCCATGATGGAAAACCGGTACCCTCATGTTATTAATGACCCCACAACCTGGGCGCCCAAAGCCAAGGCCCCCCCTCACCGATCTGACAACTCCAAACCTCCGAATTTCCAAACCCGAAGCCCTAAACCCCTATACCCTACATCCTTAATCCTACGCACCAAAAGGAAAGGATCTTAATCCTAAATCCCACAAGGAAAGGATTTGAATCCTACGCCCCAGACGACAAGGATTTTAATCCTAAGCCCCAAAAGGAAAGGATCTGAATCCTAAGCCCCCAAAAAGAAGAGTGTTTGAATCCTAAACCCCAAACGGAAAGGATCTTAATCCTAAGCCCCAAAAAAAGAAGAGGAATTGAATCCGACACCCCAACAGGAAAGGATCTTAATCCTACGCCCCAAAGAGAAAGGATCTGAACCCCAACCCCCCCCCCCCCCCCCCCCCCCCCCCCCCCCCCCCCCCCCCCGGCAGGTGCCCTCCTGGCTGCCGACCCTGGCGCCCTTCGTGGTCATCCTACTGGGCCTGGCAGTGCCTTGGGCTGAAGGGTTTAATATTATTATGGGAGCCTAAATGATCACCAGTTATTCCTTGGGTTCCTTTTCTTTGTAGTTATAGTTTAATATGGGGGTTTTCCGGAAACCAGGGCTACCTTCTTTTGGGGGACCTTATAGTAAGGATTTGACTCTTTGGGGGTACTGTACCATAGGAGGGTCCCCTATTTGCGGAAGTTCCCATATAGGGGCTTAAATAATTACCAGTTATTCCTAGGGTTCCTTTTTTTGTAGCTATAGCATAATAGGCCCCCAAACCCGATTCTAATTATTCTGGCCCGTATATGATGGGTTAACGGGGTTTAGGGTTGAGGGCTTCGGGTCTAGGGAATGGGGCATTAAGGGTTCGGCAGACCCGGTACGCTAGGGTTGGTGGGGGGTTTTGGGACGTGGGGGTTGAAGAGTTGCTTCAGGTCTTGGGTTTCAGCGTGACAGTCCAGACTGAAAGGTATCTGGGCTGTGGAGAGCGGGGAGTGAACAGAAGGTCTATGCATATGCGCAAATTCCAAGACAGTCAGACAGTTGCACTCCCTGTTTTGTCTCTTCATTCTCCTCCAAGCTTGGAGGTGAACCTGCTGGCACTGGATGTGGCTACGGAGTTTCTGGGTGCTTCGCTAGTTGTGGTGCTGCTGCACGACTGCAGGTTTCGTTAGGTTGCAAGCCGAATGAAGAATCCGTTGCAGGTCTTGAAAGGTAGGCCGTCATGCCACTCATGCGCGGAGGGATCGATTTCATGATGCCCGAGTCTTCGAGGCTTCCATTTGCGCTGGGTGTGCCACTAGCTCTGGGTCAGGCGTCAGTGGCATGGGCTCTGGCCACCGGTCAGCAGCCCGCTGCGATTTCCGAAGGAGGTGGGGGGAAAGGCGACGTGAACCTCTTCCTTTCATCCCTGGTGTGGCTCTTCACCGGCTGGGACTCCTTCGGGAACTTGGCGGAGGATGTGGCTGATCCCGTCCACCTCGTGAAAGGGATGCTGTCGGCAGCCGTGATCGCCTTGGCGGTCTATTTTGTCTGTACCTTCGGAGCTTTGGCCGCCGGTCCCGGCACATGGCAAGATGGATATCTGGCCTTGGCCTATGGACGGCTTTGGGCCCCGCAGCTCGCCAGCTCAGCAGCGCCTGCCCGAAGGACCACTGCTACCCCCTACACCTTACCGGCCTTGCCGAGCCCAGGTTGGGACCATGGATCTGCTTCTCGGCTGCGCTCTCCAACAGCCTTATCTACACATCCGAGCTGGCAGCTTGTCGCAGATCCGGCTTGGGACATTTCTTGGGTTTGGGTGGAAGCCTGCATGAAGAGAAGTGCTTCAGGCGGTCACGAGCCGCTTTCTCCAGTCACTAGGACCGCCTCGGGCCTCTGGCTTGTTCCTGCCTGTAGCACATCCGAACTACTGCGGTGTTTGTTGGGAACGTCCCGGTTGTGCTTCAGGACGGAGCTCAAGCGACTTGCCGCGGCTCCTGCCAGGTGTGCTGCAGAAGGAGATCTCATCAGGAGACTTCTAGGGCTCCATAGTCGTGTATGTATGTCTGTGTATATATATATACACCGACATGTATGTCCATGTGTGGAAATACTTGTGCATATATGTATATACATGTGTCTGTCCATATATGTATGCAGATACGGATATAGGGTTTAGTGAGGAGCCCCGGCAGTGGCCTTGCTGGCCCTGACGTTGCTGCAGTCCGCCTTGGTCTTCCTGGCCTTCGCCCTTCAGCCTTTCAAGCTTAAGGTTTAGAGTTTGGGGTTCAGGGCTAACGATTTGAGGTCCTGTCCAAACACTTGAAACGGCCATGACTCAAGCTGAAGGTTCAGACTGACCTTCCTTGGTTCCATTTCAGTCTAGAGCAGAAATTAGGAGCTTCAGCAACCAGCAGAATGTTTCCCCGATAGTCACAGGGATTCCGCCTTTCTTGTTCCGTTTCGAAGACTTCGACTTTCAGGTCCACGGGACTTGGGAGCAGACGTGGTCGTAGTATGTCGTAGCCGTCAGTTGCCAGGCATCAAGAGCCTTTCTTCAAGAAAGCTGCCGAAAGACTTTGCAGTCGCCAGACGGAGTTCTGTTTCATCTGTCTCAGAGCACTGGTAGCACTTTTTTGCACAGCCGAGGACTATTTGGTGCAGTGCTGGCCTTAGGCTGACAACCCAGACAGCAGTTGCAGAGCGCAGAGCTTCAGTGAGATTTTCGTCACCCTCACGTCGGACTGCAGCTCATGTCACTTCGCCATGCCCCACGAAGACTACACTGTTTTCCTGCCTTCCATCATCCTCACCCCAAGACCCAGTCGTGCCTTCGCATTTCAGCTGTGTGTATTCTTGAGTTTAGGGTGCCCACCCCCGGGCCTCAGGCCGACAGACCCCACTTTAAACTTTAGGCATCCCCAAGCCACCGCAACAGCTTTTAAACTACACCCCAACCCCCTACCCCCTACCCTAGCCAAGGCCCCTAGAGCCATAGGAGGATTCCGGCTCTCGCTAGCGCACCCATCCTGAGCGATGGCGGACGGCCGCCGGCGGAGGGTCTTGGCCGGAAGCTCAGGGTGCTTTGGAGCCAATCGTTCTCGCTGCTGAGATCTTCGCTATGAGTCGTTCGGACTTTTGGGACTCATGGTCCGCTGGTTGACGTGCAGGGTGTGCGTTGGCGTGTTTCGGGCCTTGACTCGCTGTTTCAGAGTGGGGAGCCATCCTCGGAAGGGGCCTCGACCATTGCAAGCTTCGCCCGTGGACCGAAGCAGGTCCTCAGCGGGTGGAGCCCCGGCCCTCTGGACGTCCTGCGCAACCGCATGCCGGATGTGGAGTGTCTGGGCAGAGACAGTTCAGGAAAAAAGAAGAAGAGGAAGAGGAAGAGACTGATGTGATGATGATCACCGTCATGTTGGATTACCGACGTTCTCAGCTTGCAAGCCACCAGACACAGTTGTGGGATGCCCAAGCCACCAGCTGACGCACGAAGGAGGGACCAGAAGTGAAAAACAAGCCACTCTTAGAAAGTGAAGGTTAGCCGATAAGGCTGTCAGTCTCGATCTTGAAGCCAAGGTTTCTGGAGCCCACCATCCCAATGCCTCCCTCGGGTTGTGGCTTTGCTGACGGGTCAGTGTCAGATCGAAATGGAGCTTCTGGGCTTAGGGTGTACGGCTCGTGATCCAGTTGCGAATTCTGACGTACTTTGACCTTCAGGGATCTTGCTGGCTTTCTGCGGCGTGTTGATGGCTCTAACTTTTGCTGTCACTTTGAATTCAAACTTTGTGGCATACAGTAAGTGGATTATGAATCTGCTGGTTGTGCAATGCCGTTGCGATAAACATCCAACCCCCCATATACCATTATCATGATAGGTAGCGTCAGTACGACTCTCAAGATAGTCTTCTGCAAATAGTTTGATAACTCTTGTCACTCCCGTTGTCGGGCAATGTTAATCGAAGCGGGCTCTGCAAATACGTCCGTAATTGCGAGGCCATGACCTCGCGAGATCTCGCGAGTATTGTTGGGATCTAATCTGGACTTCGGGGTCATGGGTTCAGGGTCTAATATGGTGCAGTTTTCTTGGGGGCATCATTATCAGTACCCATCCCTATATTGGGGAACTGACTTGTGTGGACGGGCGGCCAGTGTATGTCTTGAATGACGAGGTGTTTCCGGATTCAGGAGTACCTTACTCAATGGACTCCTTCAATGAGAATCCGGGGTCAAGCACGAGCCAACTCCCATATCAGCCGGGAAGGATCCTGTAGTCATGATTCCGAGCTGCACCATGGTGCAGTCGGTTGAATTGCAAGAGGTAGTTGTTCCAAGATAGACGATTCCTTATTATGATAATAGTATAATGGCCCCCCCAAAACCCTATTCTAATTATTAAGGCCCCTATAGTAGTTGTTCCAAGGTAGATGGTGTCTGAATCCATTCTGCCTGCTGCTCCTCGTCGCGCCTTCGCCAGCATGGTTGACCTGGAAACGACCGATCTCCATTGGCGCCAAGCTGATATACGGCCTACATGTGCGAGATGTTTTTTCTCAGAAGTTTTAGCATTCATTGCATTGTAATAGCCAGGGGCAGGGCGCTTTCGCATGGCATCCTTGAACGGGATTGGTTTGGCGGACTGACATGTTCGTGCTTAGGTGATATTCTGGCTAACACCAGAAGCTGCTTCCAACGACAAGTTGGTGGCGCAGGTCGATGAGTCCATTGCCTGGCTAGTTCGTTTGGCCGCGCCCCGAGCAACGCTGTATCCTTGGCGACTTTCCATGCCCAGCCCCTCCATTTTTGGTGTGTAAAGCCTCTCACATTACATCTCTATTCTACTTCTATTTTCACACACACAATGTTTTGTTCTATTGTTTTAAGGCCCTGCTTCTGGCTATCCCGGTGCTGCTGCGACTGGTGCTCGCCGGCCTGGTCTGGTTCGCCATCAAGGACGGGCTTTGGACCACGAGCCGCGCCATCCGCGACTTCCAGCCCGACGCGCCCGGGCGGAAGAGCGAGAGCCCTCAGCCCCAAGCTCGACACCCCAGACCCTAAGCCCTCAACCCTAAACCCTCAACCCCAAAATCTCAGCCACAAAACTCTCAAACCTAAGCCAAGCTAACCTTTCTTGAAACTCAGGGAATTACGGCTGAGGTCCTCGTCGGCTTCTCCTGGGGGGGCGGTGTCGTGCCAGCCTCAGCAAGCCTTACCCTTACTTGGACAAGTAGCGGTTCAAGGAAGGAATCCGTAGATCCTCGGCTTCCTGGCCAGGGTGTAGGATTTGGGGTTCAGGTCCTGGCGTAGGTTTAAGGCGGAGTAGTGTCAGTGTGGGGGTTTAGGGCTTTCCGTTGGGTCTTAGCCCCAAGCCCTAAACCCTCGACGGTGATGGCGGGTTTAGGATTTCCCGGGGGCGAAGCTGAGCTCCAGGCTCTTTGGCTTCTCTCGGAGGGCCGGTGGAAGGCGCCTCCTGAGGGTTTAGGGGAGTAAGGGAAAGGGTTTAGGGTTGAGGGTTAGGGTTGGGTTAGGCTTTTGAGGTTTGGGCTAGGGTTTGATAGACCTCTTGCAGTACATAGTAACCGTTCTCGTATCCCTTGTAGTAGCTTCGTAAAGGTCCCTTTCAAGGTGGTTTGGAGTCTAAGAGTCTTGACTTGAGGGTGTGAGGGCAGATGCGCTTCAGGGTGTCTCGGAGCTTCTTACACGTAGGGCCTGCAAGCTTAAAGCTTTCGTGTTGAGCGTCTTAGGGGATTCAGGGCCGCTTCCGGAGGCGCGGGATGAGGTTTCGTGTATCGAGCATAGCGTCACCAGACTGAACTCCGAACCCGGGCCGAATTCCTGGCTTCCGATAGCTGGCAAGGGCTCTGAAGCTGACCAGTGGAATGCTAGGAAGTGCAGGGTATTGCCGAATCGTGCCCTGAACTCTCGTCTCAAGAACGTGCGGGCTGCAGGCAAGTAGTCGTGGACGTGGCACCGGCACCCCTGAAACTTCCGAAAGCGCAGGGCCCGACGCTGCTGCTGGCTCCCACGGTGAATGCCATGTCTTGGGTGGCTCAGCAGCACAAGAACAAGCACGAAGAACAACAGGAGCACACTTGGAACAGGAGCACTGGCCGCAGCACGGTCGGTGTTCGCAGCAGCAGCAGAGGTTGTTTCTAAAATGTGAAGAAAAAGCGTGCCTGACATTAGGACGGCAACAGTTGGAATGCAATGGCAACAAGTGTTTCGACAACCTATCATGTCCCAGGCAGTTCTTTTTTGTGAAGCCGTTAAAGTCCTCCTAAAGCCCGAGCACGACTCCTACAGGTCCTACAGCGTCCTACAGCACCCTCAGAGATCCCATAAAGAAGCCTTACGAAATTCTTTTTTTAACCATGCAGTGCCCCGACTCCCAAATCGTGAGCTTGGGAAGCAAAGCCTATGGGGTTACTGAAAGGTTTATGGGGGTTGTTCTGAGGGATACCCTACGAGTTTCCCCTCTTCTCGTAGCCTCCTGTCAAGCTTTGCGGAGTGTTCCTAGTAACCCTCATGTAAGGGATATCATAGGCTACGATAAGCTAAAGTAGCCTTCATGATATCCCTGACACTAACCGGCTCAGGTAAGCTGCTGCTCCGCCCCCAGGCTTGGCTTCAAGCCGAGGGTGCAAAGCAAGGTATTGCTGAGATCTTCTGAGCCGTCCATCTCTGCCCTATGGCACCCCTGAGCCACTGTATGGATCGTGTGAACCACTGGAAAGCTGCTGCATGGAGAGTCGGACTGGAAAGTACACCGAATCATTTTTTGCTTTTCGACCCGTTGGGCAGGCTTCCAACGCCGAGCCCTTCGCGCCCGACCCACGTCTTCCACGCCGAGAATGACTGGGCCGTGCTTGTGGGGTTTGGGGATCCGGGTTTTGGGGTCGATGAATCTGGAAGGATTCAGGTTGGCTCCGCGGGTGTAGAGTTTACGGCTCAGGGAGTGAGGTCTCGGGATTTAATTAGGTTTTCGTTTGGCTTGGGGATGCTTGGGGCTTGTACTGGGGTTTCGTATTTGGAAGTCGGGGCATGTTATGTATTTTCAGTCTTCAATAAATACGAAACAGATAGGCAGCTCCCACAGGTGCTATCTTCAGAACGCATGCCTCGTCTAGGGCCCAGAAAGGCCGCAAGGTGTCAAGCTATGTATGATAATGACACAGTCCAGCCGAAGCGACAGACATTGGTGGGCCCCAGAGGCAGGAGACTTCAATTTCGGTGGTGTACCAAGCCCCAATTCTTAAGTGCTTCAACTCCCCTCAGCCCAAAACTCCAAGCTCCACACTTAAACTGCCAGGACGGCTTCTGCCCGGCCTCACAGGTGGCGGCACTCAGTGCTGCGGGCTGTGAGATGCATGTTTGCCGCCAGGCTAAATATCGCTCTTCTGATTGCGCGGTAATGCGAGAGAGGATTGGGGTTCGGGAGCATGGGTCTTGGGATCCGGGTATGGGGAAGATTTTGGCTGGGTCTTTGGGGCTCGTGGTTGGAGGCTTTGAGCCATTTTTCCGATGCTTTTGTAGTCCGGGCGGGAGGGGGTTTCAGTCGAGGGTTTGCAGTCAGGGTAACCCAACACTGAAAGAAAAGCATGCGAAATGTCTGCCCTCCGGCCTCAAGCGAGGGATTCTCTGCTTCGGGGTTCCCTCGGAGTATTTGGTGAGGGACGCTGATCCACCCCCTACCCCCGTTCGTCCCGGTGCTGGACAGCATCTGAGGTGACGACAACCATGTCCTCCTCAGACGACAGACGGTCGTGGCGTGGCCCGATGTTTTGCAGGGCTATTGTGAGTGCATTTCCCTGGCTTCAACCTGCCAAAAGATCCCAGTTGGACGGCCCAATCCTGACCGCAGACCATTGAATCCGTAAACCACCGTACCCCTAAAGTCTGAACGAAAACCTTAAATCTGTCAGCAGTACCTGCCGGAACACCCCAAGACCACAACACCCAACTCCGCCAAGCCACCAGTTCTGAAGATCCCCGAAACCTACTGAACTCTAAAGCCGAACACTCCATACTTTACTACTGGGTGGTTGTCAACATTAGGGTCCCTTTTTGGGTCCGTGTTATAGTACGGCATCTAATATTTAGGGCCCTAATTTTGACAACCACCCTACTAGTATTCTATGCTGTGCTATACGCTCCGCCTTCTCAGCATCCTTCGGAGGAGCTGACCAGACCAAAACCGCGAGAACACCACCAACAGAGGGTCCAAACCCAAGGGGGATAAACCCGAAACTCTAAACTAAACTCTAAACCCTGAACCCCAGACCCTCAGGAGGAGATCCACGGCTGCTTGAAGCGGCTCCTGGCCCTGCCTTCCCCCAGCTCCTCCGACGCCTCACAGACCTTCGGAGCCAACGACGCCGGGTCGGTTTTGAGGGGAGTTGGTGGGTTTTTGGGGTTGTAGCTTTGGGCTTTTTGGGTTTAGGGTTTAGGCTTTTGGGTTTTGGGTTGCAGGGTTCTTGTTCCGGGTGTGTGGTTTAGGGGTTTGGGGCAGTTGTGAAGGTTCTGTAGGGGTTCGGGTTTAGGGGATTCTGCAGGGCTCGGGAAGGTTTTTGAGGGTTCATTTGGCTTCTTGGGGCCATTGGGGTTTAGGGCTCGTGGGGTCCGTAGGATTCGGGGTTATGAAGGTTCTTTTCAAGTTTCTTTGCACCTTTGGGGCCCTGGGGGCTAGGGTTGTTGGGGTTATCTCAGGTTCTTTGCACTTCTGTATTTCTAGGTTCTTAGGGTTCGGAGTTGTTCAAGGTGGGGCTTGAATCTTTGTATTTTCAACGCCAAGAAGAGAAAATGGTAGAGTTTAGGGCTGGGGTATTCGTGCGAGGAGGCCCGAATCTGCATCTTGGCTCATAGCAAGGGCCAGCTTGAACCTTGCCTGAAGGGTCCCAAAGATACAGCACGCCTTTAATTTCGTGTCTCGAACGTCTGCTGGGGCTGCAAATGAACTTGTGTTGTCTTGTGTGGGTCACGGGCGCGAACACCATTGTTGCAGAGAAGTTTGTCAGCGGGGTTGGGACGAAGAGACCTGCGAGTTTAGATGATATGTCCCTGCCTGACCCAGGACTGTGGCTGGGACGATTGATGCGCCAGACACAAAATCGGAGCTCGCCTGCTTTCGCTCTCGTGCCGCCGACGCAATCCAGACGCAGAGTGCGCTTTGGCAACTACCTTAGGTTGAGCACTCTATTGCACGTCGTCGTCTTCTGGTGGCAGCTGGCTGCCTTCATGCGGCTCAAGCTGAGGCGAAGATTGGGGCGCACGGGTGGTTTGGCCGCTAGAGTGCTAGAGGAGGGTAGAGGATTAGATGCAGGATGACATCCCGAACCGCAAACTGAAGGGCAAGGCTGTAGTGGTACAGTCGTAGCCGTTCAAGTACTGTAGTAGTAGTAGTAGTCGTCTTCGTCGTAGGAGCAGCAGCAGTAGCGGCCTTAAAGAGTACCTAGCAGCAGCAGGAGAAGGAGCAGAGAGAATGAGCGCAAGGCTGTTGATGCTTATAGGCGAGTTTCCGAAAACAGGGGGTACTTTATTTTGGGGTCGTTATAATCAGGATCCCACCATTTAGGGTGCTATATGAGGGTCCCCTATGCTAGAGGTCGAAGAAGAAGATCACGTGAATCCAAGAGCTCTGCTCTGCCGTTGCAGGCAGCCGGAAGCCGAGCGGCGCTTTCAGGCTCGGTTCAGGGCTGAGTCAGGGCTTAGGGTTTAGGGTTTACGGGGGCTCAGGGTTTAGGGTTTAGGGCTCAGGGTTTGGGGTCCAGGGTTTAGGGTTTAGGGATGTTTAGGGGCAGTTCAAGAAGCCTGCGCCGAGAGAAGACATGTACAGACGCGGTTGAATCTGCCAAGCAGCAGAGCAGACTCCTATACCATACCCCAAACCGTTAGACCGTTAGACCCTTAAATCCTGGACCCTGGTGAGTTGTGGTATAACCCATGCAGCGCTGTCGGCCTACATCTGCTGGCTGGCCCCCTTGTCGCTTCAGCCCACATCTCAAAATTCGACGACAGGAACAAGACACAAACAAAATGTGAACCCTAGACTCCAAATCCCCATCTGTGGCCGTAAGCTATAATCACCCCACAGCTGTGAGGTTGCAGATACGATTGACTAACAAATCTCCTGAGTGCAGAAATCAAGTTCTTGAGCCCAAAAGCCCTACATCGGAGCTTCAAGCCTCACACCCTAAGTACGTAGAAGTCTAGGGATTCTGGGGTCTAGTTGGCGCGTGCCTTTGGTCGATACAACATGCATGTACATTTAGATCGGCACTGCGCTCGGGATGTAAAACTTCAATCGAGGCGGGACTTGGGATTTTATGTTCCGGAGGCCCCATGGATATCCAGACCAGTTTATTTTTCTGAACTGATTCTTAATTTTACGTGTCCAAAACTTTCAGTATCACCAGAATTTTCGATATTTGGATCGGCTCGGCGGCAAGAGGCGAGGAGGAGGAGCCAGAGGAGGAGCAAGAGGAGGAGCAGGAGGAGCAGGAGGAGCAGGAGGAGGAGGAGGCGGAGGAGGACGAGGAGGAGGAGGAGGATGAGGAAGAGGAGGAGGAGGAGGGCGTTCGAACGTCTGCTGGAGTCTCAAGCCGGTGGCGATGATGCCCGAGTATGCCATGCCTGGTACGAGCATTTAGCCATCGCCTTAAGGATGCCAAGTAGGCTTTCGCCGAGCGTTTTAAGATAACCAATGCACTGCAGGCTGAAGCTTGTGACCTACAATGAGAGGGTGCCTCCAATCATCATGTCCGCAGAATTCTCATAGAACGCAACATTATTTTCTGGACTGCGTGCAAGCACTATGACACTATGACTATCAGAGGGCATTGGATTTGGGTTTGAACCCAAAACCTAAACCGCAAAGTCACGCGCCAAATAGACCTTAAAGGATCTTAAAGGCCCATGCGGCAGCCCTCAACTTTGAGACCTCGTAGAAAGCCTTTTCTTAGCCCTGAGAGGAGTAAAAAAGCCGAGCACCCTCCGGGTTGCAGGTTCCCGGTGGCCGCGCAGGTGCCTGGGCCTTGGCCGCCGTGAAGGCGCGTCTAGGCAGTTCAGGTTCGTTTTGAAAGGGTTCTGTAAGTTCCACGAGGGTTCTACACGACGTGTGGAAAGGTTCTTCAAATTGCGGTTTACGGGTTTTCACACGCCCGTCTGCCTGTTTGTGTGTCTTGACTTGTGTCTGATGTGCGATGTGCTTGCATGCTGTGAGCGTCGCAGAAGCTTTGAATCTTCAGTGCCTCCCGAAACCTTCGAAACCCTCAGCCCTTCTTATGTAGGGGCCTTAATAATTGCTGATACCATGTGGGGAGGTCCTTATGATAGGTATAGTATACTGGGCCCCAAAACCCTATTCTAATTGTTAGGCCTCTTTAGTGCAGTGCCCTCATAGCATCCCTCATAGTCACCCTTATAGACCCCTGTAAATTGAACCCTATTCTAAGTCTTAAGGCCTCAATATTACGGCTGACACAGGTTCCCGTCCTCGTGCTGCTGCTGGTCGCTGCTTGCGGAAACTGGCCCATGGTCCTCGGTGCCGTTGCCGCGCCTTCGGCTGTCCCATGGACTAGACCCTACTTGAGAATCATGGGACGCAGTAAGTAGGGTTACAAGTACCTTAATTTCTGGGGTTATAAGTAGATATAACTATAAGTACCGTACATGTAGCCCTACTTACTCAGTCCCCTGATTCTCTTAAGTACGCTAAACAAACCTCAGTGCTTGAACCTAGGTGAACGTGGTCATCGTTCTCTGGGCTCGCTGTGTCTGATGCTGAAACCGAAGCGAAGTTTGAGCCCGACAGGCCTGCGCGTTGGTGGTAGCATGCAGTGGTCAATGCTCCAGCGCCACGGACGATTTTTATCCTGCGAGTCTTATGGTCAACAGCCTACTCACTGAGCAATCCAAAAAAGGCATGTCGATGGCATGTGAACATTTATTATGTCTACCACGCGTCCCCGACTGTGCTGTGCATCTCCACCATTGGGAAAGCTGGCACCATCAACGTCCGTGAAGAAGGTGCATATGAAGACGAAGACAGGAAAGAACGACACAGGGACGATGAGGATGAAGAAGTTCAATGCAGTGCGAGACTTGTTTTCCTTGACCTCTTGGGCGCTTCTGAGGAGCCGTCCCTTCGCACTGTCTTTTAGCACAATGTTGCAACTCTTCAGCTTGTATGTCTGCGTGTGCTTTTTGGCACGGACTGGCTTCTTCCATGTAAGCGCACGAATCGCCATGTTTGTCAGGGCAGCAAAGAGCAGCTGAGGTACGCGAGGGGGAGATCGCTGGTGAGTTCCGCAACTCTTGGATTCCTGGAAGTTCACTTATTCTACGGGGAAATACAGTACTCTTCAGAGAACCAGCGCTCAGACCACCTCAGTACCTCAGCTACGCAGGCCATGGCTTTACCACTTTCGGATTTCCAACTCAGAGACTTCCGGGGTGGCATCGTGTGGGACTTCTTCGAATGGGTTACTCAAGCGCTTGCTTCCAAGGTCTCGGAGGTTACACTCTCTGGTTTTGGGTGAGCTTAGTTACGGCCGGCTTAGCAGCAGGCTTAGCATGTGTGTCCTTCATTTCGTGAACGTGTCCAGGACGCTTCGAACCATCCCATGTCATCGAGCAGGCCTTCACCGATTCGGCATCTGGCAAGTTGCCTGTCGAACCAGACATCCGCGCTGCGGTTCACTGCTGGAAGCATGTTAAGCATCTGGGCTGTCTGCGGAAGACGCCTCATCTTAGTGTCGGTCTATCATGCGCGGCATTCCGGGAATGCGACCAGTGGAAATGTTGCGAATGATAGGGGCTTGCTGCTGGTGCCTGAGCTCCGCATACAGGGGGGGCAGCTGTTCTGTTGGCACATCCTGTAGACGTCGGTTCGGCTCAGAGTCAGGGCCCCTGAATCTGATTGTGCTGCTGAACCCTCCACGACAGCAGCTTCCATCGGCTTGAACTCTAAAGCTTCGCAGGCAAGTCTTTCAGACTCTCCGACGAGGGTTCCCCGTAGTAGCTCGGCCCGAAAACCGGAAGAAGTTTTGGCCCGCAATGGCGCGCACCGTCCTGTCTTGCCAGACACCATCGACAGTCCCTCGGCCGACATGTCTAAGACCCGGCAGACGAAGCTTTGCCATCGGACAGTGCAGATCAATATGGGAGTTTCCGAGAATTAGGGGTCCCTTATTTTGGGGTCCTTATATTAAGGATCCCATTATTTAGGGTACGACATCCCCACTCCACCTTCCGCCCCAGCCCGAAGCGGCGATGTGGGCACTGAGGTAGCACAGCAGTTGTCTGAACTGCTCCAATGCTTTCCTGCTGCGGCCATTGGTGGTATCCAGTGGAAGACACTCCTGAGCAAGTATGAGGAGTCTCCGCTTGAGTAGGCCCCATGCCTTGTGCGCGCCTCATAAGTCGAAACCCCGAAACCCAGAGACTCCAATATCCCTTAATTAACCTTAAACTATGATAGGATCCCTCATATGATTTAAGGAATATTCCCCTTAATTAAGGGATATTGGAGTCTCTGGGAAGCCTTAGAGGAGCGCTACAGCACACGCTTGGACATCTTCGGGCTTGGCCACACGTCGCCACTCGCCGCCACCACAACGCTTCTGTGGGACGCCCTGGCCCCAGCCATGAAGGTGACCAAAAAACATTCAGAGTATACCAGCTAGAACATACTTCCTTCTCATAAGAACGATTTGTGCACCACCACGGCGCAGAGAAAGCTGCAGTCTGCTAAACTGCAGCATGCTGCAATGCACATCTCAGTTAGAGGCGTTTGCCCAGGGCTTTCAAGTGCTTCGCAGTCACCGCCCAGGTCCTCCGCCTCGTAGACACCGAAGATGGTGACAATCCCATCGTGGCTGTAGAGGACTCGGTGGCGCTTGCCGGGCACCCAGCCTTCGCATTCCTCTACTCGCAACCCCAGGGGTACTCTTGTTGAGGGACTCGCAGAAATTTTGCAGAGCAACAGAAAACAGCTTGAATCCCAAAAGCTTTAAAGCCTCTGTAGCTTCAAGGCACAAGCGGCGGAAAGCTTCTCCTGTGTTCCGAAAGTTCGACAAATTGCGCAAAAACCCA